ATGAGAGGAAGACCGAGTCACCATCAGCAGCCCAAGGCTGATTCCTATGAGGCCAGACATGCCGCCACCCTCCAGCCTTTTACCAGTTCTGACACTGACCATCCCTCCCATGGCATTCATTGCTGGGCTCAGTAAATTCATTGTAATGGCCACACAGGACTCACAGACAATACTTACAATTATAGGGTTTACTAGGGAAGTAACAAATTACAGTTCAGGTTCAGGAATGAGCTCAGGATACAATTCTTCAGTCAGGACAGTTTCCCCTCTGCTATGCCTTCAGGCACGCCTCTCTGGCCCGAGGCCTCTGCCCTGCTCCAGCAAGTGGTATAGAGGTCTTTTAGCACTGCCGATGGGGACACCTACGTGCACCCTGCTCCGCCAGCCACCCTCCTGCCCAAGGGCACTCAGCGTTCTCACTCTGTGGGCCAGGTAAGCCCTCTGGTCTGGCTTGTGCCCCTTGGTCCTACCGTGACCATCTCTCTGACAAGTGTCTCTCACTGTCAGGGTATCTCTCTCTGCCAAGGGGGTCCAGCACAGGGATCTCGGGTCCAAGGACGTGCTCCACGTCACCTCCAGCTCTTCTCTCCTGATGGCAGTGAGATCCCCCTCTGCCTCTAGGAGGGTAGCCAACCTCAAGCTCAGAGTTCTACACCTTATTTGCACGGTCCCACCAAGTAATCTGGTAGGAGTTACATAAACGATGGCTGGAAAAGCCATACCAAGTAATTCTCTGCAGTGCGGATGGTGAGGACTGGGAGCTGCAAGGATGGAAGCAGGAGTGGAGACTGGTGGGAGTTACCTGGACGGGGTCTGGGGGAAGGATGAAGAGTGAGAGGAGGCATCAGCCGTCTCCAGTCTCTACTTGGAGTGGGGCACAAAACAGGAAGGGAACAAGGACACCAGCCGAGCTGAGGACTACCCCGGCACAGCCCAGCTGCAGCCCTCTTGTGCCCGTTGCCAAGACTGATGGTGCTAACATGAACCAACCTCGCGGCCTTGACACCCTGGCCCAGTGAGCACAAGCTCAGGAGTGGCAGACCCTCCTCAGACTGGGCTGGGCTGGAAGCAATGTCAGATTACCCGTACTCCGCAGCCTCCCCCATGTTCTGTCCCTCTGCCAGGTTACAAAGGCAGAGAGCAACGGGCCTGTCCCTGTTTTCACGGACTCCACAGAAATGCTGTTGCTAGATCAGAATGTGCCTGCACGGCCCCTGCCTCCAAGATGTACTTGTTGGGCATAATTGTGTCCAGCCGTAGTAGGACATCAGGGAGGCCCCGGGCATCCTTTAGGTCATGCTTCTCGATACATTTCTGCTTGAGCTGGGCTCTAAGAGAGAATGGCTCTACAGACAGATGCTGAAAACAATACCTTCCTTAACTTTCTTCCTCTGATTTTCACTCTGCTACCCGGACCCAGAGCCTGAGTTTGTGCTCCGTTGTAGTAAGTGGCTCAACTCTGCGCCTTACGGATGGACACTGGGCTT